CTCTCTTGGGGTCTATGGTACATACCCCACATGGTCCCTCCCATCTCTCTGGCTTCTCCTCTTCTGTTTGGACACCCAGATTTGTATCCAACCCAAACTTCTTTTCCAAGCTCCAGAATATTTGCATAATTCAATTGCCATACTTGCGCATGCCCAACTCCAAATCTTCCATTCTAGCTCCACTCAAAACTTCTTTCACACCCAGTGTTCTCCTTAGCAAATGGGACCACCAACTAGCCAGATGCTTATAAACCACAAACCTGGGAGCTATCTAGACTCTTTCCTCTCTACATGTAATTCATCAGGAAGACCTACCACTTTGACTTCGAAAACTTATCTTGAATTCATTTATTTCTCTCCTTCTTCACTTTCATGACCTATAATGGTCATTAATGTGGTCCAGCTTTTCTCTTCCAGGGTGCATGATAGGATGGCACTTCCCCACCCCATCTGAAGTTAGGCATGCCCATGTGACTGTCTTGGCCAACAGCATGTGAGAGGAAGAGACATCTGTCACTTCTGGTGGGGAATTGTAAGAACCAATACACTTCCCTTCCTCCTGCCATGGGGGTTATAGAAACTGTATTGAGATGGGGACCCTGTCAGCCTGGATCCCTGAATTATTAAAATGAGAAGAGCCCCTTGGCTGACCCACAAAAAAACTAAGTATGAAGAAAAATAATTAATGTTAAACCATTGATGTTAGGGACTGTTTGTTACTGCAGCACAACCTAACCCACCCTGTCTCAGACACTAACATAGTCCAAGTCACCCAAACTGCTCCAATAGCCACCTACCTCGACCTTTCTCTCCCTCCACATAACAGTCAGAGTAACCTTTTTACAATGTAAATCAGACTCCATCACTCTCTCTTAAAACCTTTTGGCAGCTTCCCATTATACCTGGAAGAAAATTCAAACTTATTCCTATAGTATAAAAGGCCCTGCACAATGTTAGCCCTGCCTGTCATTCTGACCTGGTCTCCCACCCTGTCTTCCTCACTCATTACAGTCCAGTAATTGGGCCCTTTGCTGACTCAGAGCTTTCACATATGCTGTTCCCTCTTCCTAGAACACTTTCCCACACTATTCACACAGCTGGCTCTTGCCCATCTGCTCATCCTTTGAGCCTCAGCTTAAATGACACCTCCTCAGGGAGGCCCCCCACCACTACACCTTGTTCATTTCCTTATTAGCTCTTACCACAAGTTGGCATTGCGTTTGTTTTTTCATGTTTATTTACTTGATTAATCACTAAATTGTACTCTATGGGGGCCCCATCAGCCCTCAATAACTATTTATTGAATGGAGGAATGACTGAATGAGAAGGTCTGCAAAGGGTAATGCACTAAGCACATGTAAAGCTGTGGTGATGACGAGGCTGGTAAATATCACTGACCAACTGACCAATCAACCTCACTCTGCAGGATGGCTCCTTTCTGGTGACAGGGGCCGTACTCCTCTCGAGGTCTTTTATTCCCCTCAGAAGTTAAAATGCATCTGAAATACTAGGGCTTCTCCAGAGGGCCAGGCTTGGACTCTGTGCTCCCTTCCCACTCTGACAGCTCACCAGGTGACAGCCCAGGCTGGAGCAGGTCCAGCCAGCCCCAAGGAGCAAGGAGTGGGCAGTCAGCTCCAGTAGGGAGGCAGCGAGCTGCTGCCGTCATGGAGAGAATGGCCTGGCCAGCTTTCTAGAAATAGACCAAGGTCAAGGTGGGGTGCTTCCGTCCCCTGCAGATGGAGAAGTCTGGGAAGACTCCAATCCCGGATTTCCCTCCACCCCACTACTGGGATCCTTGACCTGGTCAGGAGCTCCCTGATTTTCAACCACCTCTCCATAGACCCCTTCATTCATCACTGCTTTCAAAGAACCCCCAGGCTTCCAACCCCCTCGCTTTCCACCACACTTCTGAGGCGGAGAGGGCAGGCCTTATTCCATCTCACAGGTAGGACCCTGTGGCTCAGGGAAGTCAAGGGTTTCTCCCAACGTCACATGGTGAATTGACTGGTGAACTGGAACTCAAGTGTAGAGACTTATCCCAGAGTCAGAGCTTCAATCCAACCAAACCTTCCACACGGGGGATGTGCTTAACGGAGTCCCACAGCCTCTGCCCTAGAACCAATCTCATCTAGATGTCACTTGCTCTTAGGGGATCTTTGCCCTATGGACTCTGACCCTATTTCCTGGCATTGGGAGAGCAGTTTAGCATCTTCAGCTGCCAGCCTCAGCTGATTTCCCCAGAACCCAGCTCTTTTCTGCCTGAATCCACAGCATCCACTTTCACCTCTGGTCCTAGATACTCTGACTGCTTGGCCAGCTCACTCCGCCAGACCTCCTAGCTGGCCTGACCATCCAAACCACTATTTTCACACCCACAAAATACTCCCGCCTCTACCGAGAAAGGCCGAGGACTTTGAGGGGGCCTAGCTGCCAGCTGCATCAGCCATTTGTTTGAGTCGGGCTCCCAGACTCCCTCTTCTTGGAGCTCCCCACAGTTCTGAGAGGAAAGAGCAGGAGCATGAATAAGGCAGACCGGAAGCACTGGCTGGAGGACGGTGCGGGAAAGGGAACTTAGAAGGAACCTGGGCAGCACAGGCGGCTGGGGGAAGGGAGGGAAGGGCTCACAAAAGCAGGTAGCTGTCCCTCAGAATAGGACAGAACAGGGAGGCACCTAGTAGGAGTCTACGAATCAGATTACAACGGACAAAAAAAGATACTGTATTTGCCGGCGTATAAGACGATTTTTTGGCCCTGAAAAATATGCCTCCAAGTGGGGGGTCGTCTTATACGCCAGGTACACTTCAGATAGACTGCCCATAGTGCTTGCCCCATGCCATAGTGGCCTCCCGATGCCTGCCCACTTCATTCCACATACCGTTCAGGCATCAGCAGCGCTGCTGGGTGTATGGTCGGCTGTGTGCGATTTTGCGAGTGTGGTAAATTCGGGTTACCGTATATTTCTTTACATATGCATTGAAGATTCGCGATTTTGCGCTATCATGGTGCCTGTTAGAATGTTGAAGAGCTCGCACTTGCGCACTAGTGAGGTCCCAGGGAGATGCTGATGCAAGGGTGGACCAGACTGCTATAGTGACAGGGCGGGCAAACAGGGAGCAGGGACCAATCAAATCAGGCTTTGTATACAGCCAACAGCCAACCACAATACTGCACCATTGTACAGTACAGCATAGAAAATGTCGACCAGTCAAACCCCTATCATCCCTATCATGGCACCAGCCAAAAGAAAGAAGTATGATGCAAATTTTAAACTGAAAGTTATAAACTTTGCTAAGGAAAATAATAATTGTGCTGCTGCAAGACAATATGGAGTAACAGAAAAGATGGTTCGGGACTGGAAATCAAATGAGAAAGCATTAAAGAGTATGCCAAGGGGTAAGTGTGCATTAAGAAGAGGCACCCCACACTGGCCAGAACTCGAAAAACATGTAGCAGACATGGTGGCTCAACATCGCCAAAACGGTTATGTGGTGACACGAAATACAATACGCTTGTTTGCACTTCAGTGGGCCAAATCAAATCTGATATTGTTTTACCTTTTATTTGGTGTGTGGAAGGTGTGCGGAAGAGGGGGTAGTCTTATACGGCGAGTATATAACAAACTCTGTATTTTGAGTGGAAATGTTAGGGGGTCGTCTTATACGCCCAGTCGTCTTATACGCCGGCAAATACGGTATAGGAATTAGGAAAGAATGAAAGGTGGAATTTGGGGGAAGGGGAAAGAAATACAGTGTTTGTATTTAGAAGACATCCAATAGATCCAAGTAAAAGCTGGTTGAATGTCCTGGAGTAGACAGCCTTCAGAACCTAAACTACCCGTACTTTGCAAGCATGCCAGGGTTCTAGGCACATAGGCCCTACAAGCGCCCTGAGCAACTCAAGAGTGCCCCTTCACATTGCAGTGATTGTGAACTTGGACACTTATGACAGTTCTCTGGCAGGTGGCAGTCAGTTAAAAGGGCATCTTTGCTGATTTTGTTGGGCTAGTGGTAGGGCTTCAAAGAGGTACTTCTAGGAAGCTTGAAATCAACTTTTTCTCTCCAGAAGGCAAAATACCTCTAGTGTGAACTTGCATATTCTACTCATTTGCATGACAGCCCTTTCTTCCTAGAGCAGCGGTTCTCAACCTTCCTAATGCCGTGACCCCTTAATACAGTTCCTCATGTTGTGGTGACCCCCCACCATAAAATTACTTTCATTGCTACTCTATAACTGTAATTTTGCTGCTGTTATGAATCATAATGTAAATATCTTTTTGTTTTCCGATGGTCTTAGGCGACCCCTGTGAAAGGGTCGTTTGACCCCCAAAGGGGTCGCGACCCACAGGTTGAGAACCGCTGTCCTAGCGTATGCGAAGGTTGAAATGAGGTAACATCCATTCTTAATTACATAAGTCCAAATTAAGAAAGATAGATTTTATCTCATATGCTTTGGGGGTGTTGGGGAATGGGGACTGTATCCCATAACACTGTGCTGTCAACAGCACTGATAATTCCTAGGCCTTGTTTTAAACCATATATGAATTTGGAGATTATGTGACAATTCCTATTTTGCATGTCTGAACACGAAAAGCATTCACAAACTTTTCTCGAGTTGTTTTCCTAGCTGCCATCATGTCCAAACAACATACCTATTTCTCACTTTAATTGAGCATTGGCTGTTAATACCCATTCATGTCTAACACGCCAGGCTTTAATAGGCATGCTCTGAAAAGAGTGTTCTCGGTCATTAATATACTCATGTACACTGAGAATCACCCAAAACAGATGTAGCAGGCAATGTTTCCCAAACATATTTGACCACTGCAAAGGTAAGGGTCTCCAACGAGCTGAAGAGAAGCTTTGTACATAGACCAGAGATTAAAGCATTAAATGAAGGAATGACTGAGGAGGCAGATTTATGTGGCAGAGGCCAGGTGTCTACAGGCTGTCACTGGGAGTCCTGTGTCACCAGCCACGGTGACCATCCATTTGCTTCCTGACCTGCAGTTTCTGGACAGCATGAAGTCCTTTCTCTGGAAATTTCTTGAAGATGTTGTCTGGAAAGTAAATAGCAAATAGGATTGTTTGCTGTCTTTATACTAAGTAAGAGGGAGCATTTCTCAGGGGACCCAACTCTCAGCTGCACTTCCTCTGGCCCTGTTCACTGGGAAGTCCAGTGATGAACCCCACTGTGTCAGCTCACCACCACCAACACTCTTATCTAGGGCTGGAAACTGCTTCCCACCACCCCCTTCCTCATATTCTCCCAGGTTAGACTTTGCTGATAAGAGGATCGAATGCACGATTTAGAAAGCAGAAGTGAAGCATTTTTCTCAGGGGCTTGTGAGAACAAGCATGGAAGCTTCATCAGATACAAGCACATCACAGAACTCTGAGAACTCCCACTTCCTGTCAGTTTCTCCCCTCACACTCCAGGCTTCAAGCTAAGGTCTTCATGATTCAGAATGGCTTTCTTTTCCTGACCTACCTTGACGGCTGCCACTACCCTCAGGATGCTCTGGGCTCCAGCTTCCACTCAACCCTTAGCCTCACATTGGCCTTCTTCTGACTCCATTCCCATTCCCTGCTCAGCACTGACCCACACAGAGTTCAGCCCCCTTCTTAGAGCTCCTCAGGACTTTGTGTGTGCAGTGCACTTCACAAAACACTTAGAGATAACCAGAGTTTGCCTCACACCAGCACAAATGAGATGATGGAATGTCAGACACAATGATTCTTTTTTTTTTTTTAAGATTTTATTGGGGAATTGAGGAAGGGAACAGTGTTGGGGAATTGGGAAAGGGGAACATTGTGTTTTTCCAGGACCCATCAGCTCCAAGTCAAGTGGTTGTCCTTCAATCTTAGCTGTGGAGGGTGCAAGCTCAGCTCCAAGTCCAGTTGCTACTTTCAATCTAGTTGCTGGGGGCGCAGCCCACCATCCCATGCGGGAGTCCAACAGGCAACCTTGTTGTTCAGAGCTCGCACTCTAACCAACTGAGCCACCCAGCCGCCCTAGACACAATGATTCTTAAAAGTTGTTCCAGGGGCCGGCCAAGTGGCTCAGTTGGTTAAGAGCTCGCTCAAGAGTTTGAGCTCTGAGCAACAGCGGTTAGATTCCCGGCCCGAGCTGAGCTGCCGCTGAGCTGCCAACAGATGGCAGGATGGCTCAGCTAAAAAAAAAAAAAAAAAAGTTGTTCCAGCCTTCTTTTCCACCCTTATTCAGTCTCAGTCCTGCTTCATGAGCTCTGCTAAAACAAGTCACCTACTCTAGGTTAGAAGCATCAATAGAGTAAAGACCTGCCAGACACCTTGAAGCTTCCAACTTTCCTTTCTCCATCACCACCAGCCTCCATACAAGACAGGATTACTATAGAGAGTGGTTTTTCCCACCACCCCAACCTCATCCTCCCCTAGAAGGAAAAGGCTGTTATACTTTCTATTCCTTTCATTCATTTTCTCCCATTCTCCTAGAGTTTGTCCTCAAATTATATTACTGATTATGAAAGATTGTATTTTAGGGTGGTGCGTGTGTGCTTGTTACCAAGTGCTACATAAAGAATTACCTCAAGGGCCGGCCAAGTGGCACGATGGTTAAGAACTGGCTTGGGATGCCAGAGGTCCCTGGTTCGGATCCCACATATGAGGGCCAGTGACACTGCCCTCCACAGCTAAGATGCTGAACAACAGCTCAACCTGGAGCTGGGCTGCCGTGAGTCGCCGGCGACGGCATAGGCTGCAGCCCCTGTGGCAGTGGGTTGCCATGGGCTACTGTGTGTAGCCAGCAGCCAGCGTGAGCGGCCAGCAGCCACAGTGAGCGGCCAGCAGCCGCAGTGAGCGGCCAGCAGCCGCTGTGAGCGGCCATCCAGAAGCCGGCGACTGATCTGCCTTGCCTGGGAAGAGCGCAATGAAGGTGCCTACTTGGGCCAGTGAAGCAACGTCCTCCACAGCTAGACTGAAGAACAAAACGACAGCAAATTGTCTGTTCCCCTTCTCCCAATTCCCCAGAGCTGTTCCCATCCCCCCAATTCCCCAATAAAAGTCTTTAAAATAAAAAAAATAATAAAGAATTACCTCAAAACTTAACTGCTTAAAACAATAAGCTTTTATTATCTCACCATTTCTGTGAGTCAGGAATTAAAGAGAGACTAAGTTGGATGGTTCTGGCTCAGGGATTCCCATGAGGTCGCAGTCAAGATGGCAGGCAGGACTGCAGTCATCTGAGGACTTGCCTGGGGCTAGAGGATCTGTGTCCAAGATGGCACCTTCACAAAGCTGTTGGCAAAAGGCCTCAGACCTTCACCACATGGCCTCTCCATAAAGCTGCTTGACTGTCCTCACAGACATGTCAGCTAACTTTCCCCAGAGTAAGTGATCCAAGAGCAAGGGCATTTATGATTTAGTCTCAGAAGTCACTAACCATCAGTTCCCCCATATTCTATTCATTACAAATGAGTCACTAAGTCAGCCCATACTCAAGGGGAAAGGAATTAAGCTTTACTCTTTAAAGAGGGGAGTATCAAGGAATTTGTGGGCATACTTTAAAACCACCAAAATGTGAAAAAAGTGCAGGATAAAGAGTCAAAATGCCTATGTTCTAATTTTACTTCTAAATGCTGAGGGACTTGAACACATCCCTTCATCTCTCTAGATCTGTTTCCCCATCTGCAAAATGAGAAGACAGACTTCAGTGACCACGAAAGTTTCATTTTCAATTAGTATGTGTCTTAGTGTTTCAGCACTCGATACTCTAGGCCTTAACCCCATACCTCAAGCAGTCATTCCCTCCCTTCTCCTTCCCCTCCCTCTCAGCAAGCCTCACTGCCACTTGGCCCCAGGTTTGGCCACCACCCATCAGCACCCAAGCCATACCCAAGTTCATCAGCATCTCTAGGGTGGGACACAGGCATCAGCAGGTTTTACAGCTCCCCAGTGATCCTAACATGCAGCCATGGTAGAGGACCATAGCTCTAACTGCTCTATGAGAACACTCAGTAGGGAACCTTTTTAACAAATAAAATAACATTGCATGTGACTACTGATTTGTCTCTCTCGTTTTTCTTCTTTTTTTAATGTATATGCACTTTGAGGGATCTTACACTGCTTAGAGCTCAGTTACTTAAATTACATTTGGGGGTCTGATTTCTCTAAGAGGTCACTTTGCTCTGTGTTACTTCAGAGAAATAATTAGAGACCTTTAGAAAATCAGAGAAGTTTAGAGAAATTTTTTATGGCCACAGTGGAATTTTTTATAGAACTGTTTCCCTTGCTAGTGTTTCTCATCATGGTATTGTTTCTGTGGGGAAATTGATCCAATTTTTATCTTTTTTTTACTTACACCACCTTTTCCTAGAATATAACCTGCTATAAGTTCAAACAATGCCTGCCATTTTGGGGGGGTTTTTTTGTTTGGTTTGGTTTGGGTTTTTTTGCTTGTGTATGTGCATGTGTGGGTGTGAGAAAAGTTAACATTCTCCAAGACAGGGCAGAGCCCAGTGCTGAGAATGGTGCAGGACTTGGAACACCCTGGTAAGAGACGTCTCTGGAAGGCCATGGGTGTGGGGCTTGGGTAGGTGCTGGATGGGCTCTTCTGACCCTCTTCTTAGCAAGCCTCCCAACATGTGCTCCGCCTCAGTAAGCCACTGTGCAGTGTGACCAACTGACCCAGTTTGCACAACTCTGACAGAAACAGGGGTAGCAAAAGCACCCCTCTGCACTGTGAGGCTCTTAAATGCAAGTTTCCAGAGCCCAAGGCCCAGGAAACAGAGCAAGCTCTGCCATGTTGATTTCCATCAATAATCTCTAAGTATCTGAGTTCCTGTCATAAAGAAAAACAATGTGACCTGTTGTCTGTCCTGAGACTAGTGATTCGTGGCCCTGGATGTACATGGGAATCACCTGGGAAGTTTATATGTTACCTCCAGAAATTCTGATTTCATTAATCTGGGGTGGGGCCCAGGTTTGTACACACATACACACTTCTGAACCTTTCTTCTCTGTTTTCTTTTTTTTTTTTTAATTAAAGTTTATTGAGGTGACAATAGTAAAGTTATATAGGTTTCAGGTGTACAATTCTGTAATACATCATCTATATATCACATGTGTGTTCACCATCCAGAGTCAGTTCTCCTTCAATCACCATATATTTGATCCTGTTTACCCTCATCTACCACCCTCCTCCCTGGTTTCTTTTTAAGCAGGAAATTTCTCTCCTGGCTATGAAAAATGTGTCATTCCTAAACTTCCTGTAATTCTCTCCCTGAGGTTATCTTGAGCAAAAATGGCCTCCTAGAGAAATCGGAACTTTTTACTGTAACAATGGCAATCAGGTTATAGATTCTCTTCATGGGAAAATTCTAACATAAAAGTTCAAACCACTCTTCATCATCTATGAGTAAATTGTCCAGCTCCTGGGTGTAGAAGCGTGTGCTGGGTCCCCCTTCCCTCCAGCTCCCTCCTGGAATTCTCCCCACCTGGAGCCACAGCTTCAGAGGCTTCCTTGGCCCCATCCTGCTCTTCTGGTTCTACCTGACCTCCTGACCCCATAGCTCCCTTGTTTCTGTAGTTTACCTCCCTGGGATGCGGAAGTGGAGGGTTCCCACACTGTTCCTCACCTCACCTGGCCAGCCCACTAGACAAAGGTGAACCCCTCACCTGGCCGGGCCAAGCACTCTTTCTCCCTAGAATCTAGGGCTCAGCCACAAGGTCTCCGGTGAGCCAGCTTCCTATGCTGCATCAGGAAGGCCACAAATCTCAAGGCCTTGACTGGTTGCCATGTGAGGAAAGGTCATTTGAGGTCATGAGCAAGTGATCAAACTGGGAGGCCAGGCCTGCAGACATGCTACAACGATAGGCAACCAGACAGCCTGCTGAGGAGGTCTGACAGTGACTCAGAGCCTGACATTTTCCCCACAAGTTTCCAGGTGGCCATTCTCATCCTCCTTGTACCCTCATGTTCCATGAGATCCTTGCCCTAATTTCCTCTTTAGCTAAGCCAGCAATAACAGATTTCTGTTGCTTGCCACCATCCAACCCCTGGGCGAGTCACCAATGTCCACTCACCCCCATAGGCACCTAAATCTGGGCCTTTCCTGCTCTCACAATATCCCCTACTTTTCTGGTTCTTTCTCAGCTCCAAAAAGGGCTGGCACCCACCTCCCCTGTGGGTCTGTTCCCCAGAGTTCAAGGAGAGACAGCCTCTTTGCTAATCCAGGCGTCCTTCCCATGGCTTCTGCAGAGCCTGGGGTCCTCACCCACGTGTCCGGTTCCCATGGCTCAGGCCTCACCTCCCCCATTGTCCTCCACCTAGGAACGTTTTAGAACACATTTTGATGGAACACTTTTGAAAACAGAGTAAACAGTGGTTTCCTCACATTCCTGTCAGCCTTTGTCTTTCAAGACTGAAGAGTCTTCAACTGGAGAGCGCTCATCCCCCCATGCTGCGTGCCCTGGCACTTGCCCAGACCTTGTGGGGGTGAGGGTGGGGGGCTGCTCAGGATTGCTGGGCTCATGCAGCAGTTTCAGATCACCTATGAGGCCTTCAGTGTCTACTTCATGGTCTCCACTTCACC